GTAGGAGATGCCATTGACGCGTGCAAACTCCTCATCCGTCTTGACGAGGTCCTCGTTGGGGGAGATGTTGGCCTTGTCCGCCTCAGCTTCCTGAGGTGTGGACCATCCGCTCGCGATACTTGATGTGGGTGTGTTCTTGCCGAGGAGGGCGTCGATGCTGTACGTCATGCCCTTGACCTGCTCGATATCTCCGCCTTCAATCTGGCCGTATTGCAAGACGCGGCCATCAGAGGGAGAGAGCAGGGCGTTGGAGTCTGGGTGGAGGGGACGGGAACCGGGCTTGAGTTGGCGGTAGAAGAAAGAGGCGAGGTTCGGATATGTTCGCAAATCGGGTTCGGCGACTTCGTTCAAGCTGTCGAGGTAGGTTAGCATGGAATGATGCCAGACTCGGACTTTTCGATAGACTATACTTGACGCCAAAGATCCATGAGTAGAGCTTGAAACCGGGAACACGAAGGTAGTAAGGGATAGTCAATTCGTTGAAGCGACCCCAGAGCCTCGAAATCGCTTTCAAGGGCAGCGTCGACATGACCTGGACCTGCCATGGTCCGTCGGGCCTGATCTTTGCGCGCTTCTTAGGCGGCGCGCCATCCTGGACGTCGTCCCTCTCCTGCTTCTCGCGCTCGCGCGTCGAGACCTTGTAGAACTGAACCAGGCCCAGGAAGCCGATGCCGAGGCCGACGGGGATCTGGTACCACTGCACTTTGCTGTTGTTGAGGGCGTGCCGCAGGCGGGAGGAGAAGCGAGGGCGCTGCTGCTGCTGAGAGAAGAATCGGGTCGAGGCGCAGGGGCCGTGGAGAGAGAAGAGGTTGGTGGCCCGTAGCTGGCTCTGGCGAGCGTACAGCGTAGCCATGGTGGGAATGGGACCTCAATCGAGGGGGTTTGCGATTGTTTGGGGCCACCGGGCTTTTGGCTGGGTTTGCGGGGACGAGCAAATGGGCCAGACGATGACAGTTTGGATGAGCAGGCGTCTTGCGATAAGATCTTGCAGCTCGGCACCGGCAGCTTTGGGATGACGCAGCACGAACCATCCGACTGCGCTAGTCTCATTTGGGCAACCAGGAGCAACGTCCTCTCCATGATGCATTTGAATAGACTTCGAGCACACAAAACTGCTGGAAGCCGAGGAGCGTTACTTCATCTTTTCAAAGTTGTATAGAGGGGACTTTTCCGAAGCAAATTCGGAATTAATTTATAAAGGCTGCACTGTGGCTCGAACTCGTAAGCCACCAGCCTCATAGAAGGAGAAGTACTTGAGTCGTCCATCTTTGACAGGTCTCAATTGTTCCATGTGTGTCTGAAGCTCGAGAGACTCAACTCCCCGACTTTCTCATCATTTTTGCCTGCCCTGGGTTAGTCACTTGGGCAGAGGGATGAAATTTAGTGAAACTCTTGCGTCTCTGTGACCGTGGCGTTGCTGACCCTTTGAATGCATCACTATTGCCTCTAGTGACATAGCTCATATTCACATACACATCTTCATAGGAAAACATGCAAATCACATAGAAATCAGAGTGACAGGAAGGTAAGCCTGTCAAAGACGAACACCGATGGGTAAGTTCCAGGTGATGCATACCTCCCTTCCCTCAATGTAACTGAGGATCAGATGCATCTCATCTTTTGGCTTACATAATCGGGCTGTCACCACCCGCCCGATTGGGACAGCGTGCATGGATCGGGCCTTCCGGGTCCCAGGGACAGACTACGTACCCACGTTTTTAGTGAGGCCAGCGGGTCCGTACCTGAGCTGGAGAGTCTGCAGTCGGAGAGCAACACATGTCCTAAATTTCCCCGTCTACGAACGACACGGTGACATGAGCATCGTTTCCTTGCGCATACACCACTACTCCTTTCCCGCGGACAATCAGACGAAGCTGCCGCGTCGCGCTCTGCGTGGCATGACCGATAGGCCTCATCATGGCCTCTGAAGCCTCGTCTTCCGCCGCGCCCTCTGCGCCAGAGGCTACTTCTGAACACCTGTCCGTAAACCTGCAGGTCTTGTCGCCATCCACCGCTGCCACGTCTAGCCGACCCTTGGTCTTCCCTGGTCTCGCGGCCACCACGACGGTTCGGCAGCTCAAGGAGAAAATTCGACAAGCGCTTCCTCTCAAGCCGACCGATGCCCAGCAGCGATTGATCTACCGGGGCCGGCCTTTGGCGCAGGATGGGGACACTCTCCTGACCGTCCTCGGCGAGGAAGTCGTAAGTCCCCCTGCTCTGCTAACAATTGCACACCATCGCTGACTGACTTGGGGACAGATCCGCACTACCGACCAGCAGACGATTCACCTCGTGCTCCGAGACGTCGCAGAACCGCATCGCTCTACGACTCCGACACCGGCACTTGTTCGAGGGTCGAGCCCGGCGCCGCCCACTGCCCATTTTCCAGGCCCTTTTGGCACCACCGGTCAACCCCAACACATCCATCATCATGGCAGTCAGCCTACAGCTGCGGCCTTTACCAGACGAACGCCTCTGCATCCGACGTCGAACCCTATGCCCTTCCCAGCACCACCCCAATTACCAGCGAACCTGACCCTGCAGCAGCTCCAGCAACTGCAGGCGCAACAGCACCAGAGCATGACGGCCTGGATGAACGGACTTCAACGTGAGGCTATGAACAGGGCCATGGCCCACCAGCAGATCAATCAGAATCAGGCTATGAGAGCGTCTATGGGTATGCATGGCGTTGGCGACACACCGGCGGCGGTCCCCAATCCTGTGGAACCCACTCGTGGACGCGCGAGCCCGCTTAGCAATCCTGAAGGGCACACGTATGTACGAGAGGGCCTCATGCCGAACGGACAGACGTATCGCGTAACGGTCAACGAGACCTTCCTCGGTGGCCAATTGAACGTTCAGCAGCCGGGCAGTCAAGGCACCTCGACGCCTCTGTCCACTGCTGACGTCCAGACCATCTTGAGGGCCGCTGACAGCAACCAAGCAACATTGGCCATGACCAACGCGATGCAGAGGAGCGCCTCAAGCACATCCCTTGCCAATGGAGGCTCATCTGTTGGCGTCACTACTCCTTACTACCCAACCCCTGGATCCAGAGCCAGCAGTAGGCGGCCTACCCCTGATCCTACCGCTCGCTCAGTCAGCGGCGGCAGCAGACATTCTACAAACGCTCAACAGCAAGCACCGTCCGGTCCTGAAGTTTATATCTTGTCTTCGCCTCAAGGTCCTCGTGCTCTATTGATCAACAACGCCACGGACTCGTACTACACTCCAAGAGGGCAGCCCCACACTACCTCAACCCTTCACCAAACCGCCTCTGCGCTCGCGAGAATGCGAGGTCGCCCTCAACATGTTGCCTGGCCAGGAGCCTTTGTAACTCCACCACCTCATCACGAAGAACAGCAACCAGCACATCAAGCCGAACCTCAACCGCAGGTGCAGCAGCAGCACCAGCCTGAGGCACAACCGCCCATGCATCAGCCTCAGGGACAGCCTGCCGCAGCAGCAGTGCCTGCCCACCCCAACAACCCGGGTATCGCTCCGCTCATTGCGCAAGTGTGGCCGCACTTTTGGCTGGTAGTTAGGCTTGCCCTCTTTGTGTGGTGGTTTACTTCGCCCAACGCCGGCTGGTCTAGGTGGATCACTGTGATTTCAATCGCGATCAGCATCTTTGTTCTGAACACTGGACTTCTAAACAATTACTTTGACCAGGCTGTGGGACCAGTCAGACGTCACATGGAGAATCTGCTACCCCTAGCTGCGCCGAATAATGTCAATGAGCCTGTCCGTCCCCGAGACGACCAGGCCGTGGTTGGACGCGATGGTCAACCTGATCCGACACGAGCAGCTGCCAGGCTGGTAGCTCAGCGCAGACACGACAATGCGAACTGGTTGATGGATCAAGTGCGGCGGCTCGAGAGAGCTGGTCTTCTCTTCCTGGCTAGTATTGCACCAGGTGTTGCGGAGCGCCATATTGCTCATCTTGAAGCCGAAGCCCGCGCCGAGCGTCAGAGAAGGGAGGAAGCGGAGGCTGCTGCTGCCGCTGCGGCAGAGGCCGCGGCCAACCCTGAGAACAACACAGAAACCCAGAATAATGACGAGACGAATGAGACTTCAGGACGCAACGATACGGAGGAGGGTGAGAACGAGGCTCAGAGGGAAACGCACGGGGGAGACCAGCGTCGAGCGGAGGAGCAGCAGCCGCTATTGGCGCTGTAAGAGGGACGGAGCCCAAAGGATTGAATAAGATGAAGGATCGTTGTAAAATACAGATTACCCAGCGGACGCTCCAAGGACGTTCCTTTGCGCATGGAGTCGGGTGTAGAGCGTTGACATCGGGACTCACATCAATGCATGTTTTTGTTTGTCCAGCGTAAAGATCAGTTTATGTTCTATCCATTTCTATCTTGACCAGTTTACGCCGTGGGCGCAACCGTGACCCAATCTGCTGCAATGCCTCGGGGCAATCTACGCGAGTCGTCGTCTTGGGTTAAGATTTTGAGTTGTTGACGGGGCCCGACACGATGGTGAAGGCTGCCCAATACCTCATAACTCAATCCTCTTTTTCACCGCCCAGGAGTGGTTTACCCCCTCTACATGAGAGCCTCGTCTCGCGTCATTTTCATCGGCCTTCCTCTATAGTATTCTCCGAATAATTACACTATAGAGGAAGGCTCATCGTTTGGAATCGTTTTCGAAGTCTCCTTGTTGCGACCTCTCTTTTCTCGTACACCATTTCCCCGTATACGACCGACCACCAGATAATGGCCGGCTGTCTAACCCATCTTCTCATTAATCATGGCCCAGACAGCCGTCCCTCGTCCCTCAGTAGGCTTGCGGTCGGTCGAGGAGTGTTGGAGGCAAGATCAATACGACCCTTTCCTCGCCGTTTGTCGTGTGCCTTTTTCTCTGCCTTCCTCACTTACCTCTTATTTTCCTTTTACCTGTGGCTTTTTTTCGCTCTTTTGTTCTTTTCTCTTCGTCTCTCTATCGTATTCATATGGGCACAGGCTCCAGAGGATGTCAGGTTCCATCGGACCATGTCGTTCTCCCAGACTCGAAAAATCTCAGCAATGACGCCTCTACTTCGTGTCTTGCGTCGTCGATTGCTTCCTATGCATCTGATCAAGTTTGTCGTGGTCATGGTCGATGTTTGATACTCGTCGGCTCTCGCTCCAGGTACCATCATCTCAGACGATCAGAACGAATGTCTCGTTACAATCCTGGAAGGGAGGGCTGGGGGTGATATTGACCTCCTGATACGATAGCGCGGCGGCGAGCAGACAGATACCACCATTCCGACGGTCCCCAAGATGAGTGCCGCCGCATCGATATGCGTACGGTGCTTTTGCCGGTGTGAGCGAGAAGGAAGAGGAATTCAGGCAGCCTCCTGCGTACCATTGGCCTTGACCGAACCCAAGCCCCAGGCACTCCGTCCGTCAACGACCGCGGGCCCGGGACGTCTGGCGGCAGGCTGTTCCGCATCCCCCTCCCCCTCCTCCGCAGAGTATTCCTCCGAGGTATGCTCCGGAGAAGGAGGGGTGACGTCGCCGGCAGCGGAAGAAGAGGTGACGTCCCCGCCAACGGAGGGAGGGGTGACATCGCCGGCGACGGAATCCGGCAGCTGCCGCGGCGAAGATTGAGGGATGGCCGCCGCGGAGAACTGTTCGCTCGCGGGCGGGGGCGGGACGTACATGGAGCCTGATGACTCGCTCATGCTCACGTCGTCGCCATCGCCCTCGTAGCCCTCGTCGCCGTCGCCATTGGCATTGGCACTGACGCTGCCGCTGGCCTCTCCATTGACGACATGCCCGTCACGGCCGCCATCATGCCGGAAATGGCACCCTGGCCTCTTGCAGCCAAGACCGTACCAGCATCGTATGGTACTAGGGTCTTGAGCCGGGCCTGCAACCGTTGCGGCGGGAGCGGTGTTGGGGACGGGGGCCTCTTCAGGCGCAGGCGAGGCGGCGACGGCGGCAGACACAAGCTCAAGCCCATGGTGAGGGTTAGGGGGGGCAGGGGAGGGGGAAAGGGGGTGAGCCCCCGGTCCGGATCCGGGTTCGAAGCCCGGAGGACGCGCGAGGGCGTTTAACGGGCCCGGGCCGAAGCCAGGAGGCGGGCCGAGGGGTCCGGGCTGGTGGGTGGGTCGCCAGCTCATGCCCATGGGATCGAGCGGCGGGCCGGGCAAGGGCAAGGGCAGACCCGGCGGCGGGAAGGAGGGACCGGCGTAGCCGTAGCCGTGTCTGCCGTGGAGGTGCGGGGGCGCATAGTAAGGACCCGGAGCACCGTATTCCGGGGGGCCGTATCCCGGCGGCGGGCGAGAGGGTCCAGCATGGCTCGAGGGCCCAGCGTACGGCGGCAGCGGCGAGTCGAAGTACGACGTCGCCTCCTCCTGCGTGCCGTCGAATGTCGGCCAGCCCAGGGCGTTGGGCATAGGATTGGCGATGCGATATCCCATCCACTGAGGCGGAGGCGGCGGCAGCTGGTGGTGGCTGTTGTTGACGCGGCCATTGTTGGTGTAATGGCCGTGGTTGACGTAGTGGCCGTTGACGTACAACCCACTATTGTACGTGACGCTGCTGCTGTAGAGGGCGTGGGCGTGGGCGTTGGCGTTGTACCTCGCCTCCGCCAGCGCGACCTCCTCCTCCTGCTGGGCCGCGGCAGCGACCATCTCGGGCCGCAGCTCCCCGTCTCTGTGGGGGAAGTTGCAGTTTTCTCTGCCGTAGGTGCAGCGGCCCTCGAGGAAGTGGCGGCAGGTGGATCGTTTATCCCGTGGTCTGCGGTTGGGCTTCTTACTTTTGGACTTCTTGTCCTCGCGATTGTTGTTGTGTTCCATTGCGAATAGATGGTGTATGAGGGGGGGGAGGGGGGTAAGAAAGGAATTGGGTAGGTAATTGGGTAGGTAATTGGGTAGGTAACTAGGTAGGTAACTGGTGACTGACTGAGCTGACTGACCTGCTTACGAGAATAAGAAGAAATAGAAGGGATACCGGAGATGGGGGTATTTTTACTAGGGACCTTGCGGCGCTGGCGGCGTGGGTTACTGTGGTGAATATGTATCGGAGATGGGATAGAAAGGAAGGGGTGGATCACTTTTGTATCGGAAATAGCTTCACTGCAGTGCAGTACATTGGAGGTGAGTTTGGGATGAGTCTCATATACAGGAGATGAGTTGCTGCCACAGACTCACGAACCGGCCTTGGGTCAAGGCGATTGTGGTTTGATCTTCCGTCTAGAATGGTTCGCGTCAATCACACTCATATTTTATAGTGACTCTACAAGAGTGAATGAGGTACACAAGAACAGCGAAATGCGTTTGGAAACTTCAACGTGGGTGATTCACAGAACGTAGAAGCAAACAAGACGGGAACCGCGGTGGTCGTTGGTCTCGGTACTAACAGGGGGGGAGGGGGACATGGTAAAACTTTACCGCCAGACAATCTACGGCTTTGATGTCGAACCCCAGAACAAACAAGCAGCAGTAACATATTGGAAAAAGGTCCCTCGTCATGGTAAAAAATTTGATGCGACCCTCCCTTACATGATTGCTGCAGTTGTTGCAGAACACAGTCATTCACCGTCGTGGTTGTTCAGGTTTCGGACGATGAAGAACCTTACCGGGGGGCGGCGCGAGGAAAGTGGTTTTCGGAGGTAGATGAAAAGTGGATCACGAGTTTACCATGTCTCCCGTCCGGCCGATCTCCCGCACCGGAGCAAAGTGGAGTCGAAAAAGGCAGGGTGGATCCACCCGGCCCTACGGGCGGGGGTACGAAGTCGGAATGTGCCCAAAACTCTCAAGTTTGACGTGCTGAGTAAGGTAGCATCGCAGCATAGGTAGCGGACAAACCACGAAACCAGGCACGCAATCCACTCCCACCGACACCGACAACCCCCGTGCCCCCGATTAGCGACTGTGCGCGCCGCCAACCAGCCAGCCCAGCGAAGACGGGGAGAGGAGGCGTTCGGGTGCGGCGCCGTTTGGAGGAATTTCTGACATGAACTTGACAGGTATCCGGTGTCCGTCAATGGTGGGAATGCGATGGGGCACTGACAATAGTCTGGCGGCGGGCCGTGACCAGGAATGTTTTTTATTTATTTTTTAGGAGCAATCTTCCCTCGCCGTCCCTGAAGCTCTTTCATCACGGAGGTCTCGGACCCGATCACGGACAGGAAAGGGGGCAACGCTGGAAACGTACGTTACCTTCAGATTTTGACGATGCCGGGTGCCGAGAGATACGAAAGAGCGGGAAGGATTACCTAAAGCTTGGGGCGTCTGGTGCGTGGGCAACCGTCTCCGGGCAATTCAGAGGAATGAGGAGGGAAGGGGCATGGATGGATCGGTAGCAGCATGAAGAAGTCGGATGCAAAAGGGGAAATACGGCGCATGATGATGGCCTGCGCGTTACAGTGACGGGACGGGGGGATGGGGTCGTATCGCTGGAAGTCCTGGACGACGGTCGCGGCCATTGGAGAAATGCTAGCCCCTGGGAGAATGGATTTTGCGTCAGGGCCGCCGTTGTTCATCGCTTTGTTCCCGAACGCAGACAAAGAAAATGCCATTATTGACCCGCGGTAGTGGGCTAGTCGAGTAAATAATGAGACACCAAGATTCTCTTTGCTCGCCTCCAAACCTCAATGCTTGGAGGCTGTAGGTACGGGGCAGGGAGGAATTGCGGCTGAGCACGGCCGGCGGCTTCGAGACGAAAGGGGGCACTCCCGTCTTTTTTTGGTGGTACAAAGAGACGGCCAGAGCATGAAACCGCAATGCGAATCTCTTGTTGTGAGTTGAAACTAGCGGGCTGCGCCAGGCCCTGCCCAGCCACCCTGCCATTCCAGTGGTCCCCTTCCCCCTTGGCCCTTCTCTGGGCTCACGCTGCCTCGTTGGTCCTTGAACTTTGGGGCTAGGGTTGGCGGGTTGGCGGGTGGGTTTGGTCCTTGACCTAGCATGGCTTAGGCTTAACCGCCCGGACGGGTGGTTAATGCATGCCTTGTTCTGTCGCTGTGTTCTGTCCATCGTTGTTCCCCATTGCCATTGTCGCGTCTTGCGAGTAAGTATGCTGATAGCGGAAACAATGGCAGAGATGGTGTTCGAGAAGGGGAGCTGCCGAGGGCGCTGGAACTTGGGTGTTTGGTGGACGGTCCCGGACGGCTTGAGCAGACAAGCAAGGGAGAGTTGGTCAAGGTTTACGCCGTAGTGCTTTGTAGAAGTTGTGCCCCCGAGCATATCATCAGTAGTCAATAAAGGTTGCACAAACCCCCGCAGACTTGTTGAGCAGGAAGAAGAAAGCAAGTCGTGGGCCGGTATTTGGCCTGCTGGGGACGGCGTACGGAGTATGGAGTAGAGGTGCCCAGTTATGCAGTGGTTGGCTGGTGTTCTGCCAGCCTCCCACAACCTCCGCACGCTTGGCTGCATCCTCCCTCCTCCAAGCAAATTCGCGGTGAAGGGGACACGGTGAGGTGAGGAGGCCATGCGGGCATGGTCGGTGGGCTCCCGTCAGTCTCCTCCGGTAGGTGGTTCCAGAGCTGCCGGACGGACGATTGCTGCAGATTCATCGGGCCCTTCGGGGGTGTTGTGCGTCTTTGATCCTCCAAACCTCCGCCCGCTCAGAGCACGTGCGTTGTCCGTACGAATAACGATGCGTATCTGTTCCTGAAGAACCTTGGAAGTTGGAATAGAAGGTTATGGATACCTTGGATGACTGAGTGAGTGAGTGACAGACGTGCAAGGCTCTTGTTAGCCCACTTTTGCGGCGCAGGTACACAACAGTTGGCGGGTGGGGTCATAGGACGACCAGGTACCGAAGATGGCAAGATTTCCAGATGGGAGGAGACGGAGATGGGAGATGCTGGACGGGGAATGGAGCTGGGACCCGTCAGTCAGCGTCATCTACCTGCCTGGGTACCTTGGTTCTGAGGGACCTGACTGAGAGCGGCGACTCCGCAGTACGAATCTTGCCCCCGCCACCTGTTAGCACTTGAGCACCAAGCAGCGATGAAAACGGTAGCGCATCTCTAACAAGATCCGGACATGTCCCGCGTACTATGGCTCCCGACCCGCTTGTACCCTGTCCAGCTGCGCCTTGTGCCGTCGTCTCCCGTACGGATGCACCTTTTTTTCTTGGTGCTGTTACTTTCCAGTGACCCCGTCTTCCTCGTC